TATTTCCTTTCCTCCACACCTCAGTGGCACTTCTTCTTTGTCTTTTTCACAGCAGCCATTCTGACAGGTATGAGGCGATATCTCCTGTGGTTTTTGGTTGGCATGTCCTTCATGATTAGGGATGCTGAGCATTTTTTCATATACTTCTTGAACATTGGTATGTTTTCTTTTGAGAAATATCTATGCAGATCTTATGCCCACCTTTTGGTAGGATTGTTTTCTCTATATTGAATTGTGTTCCATGTATATTTTGGATATGAATCCCTTGTCAGATATACAGTTTGCTCCCATGCTCTCAGTTGACAGATTGCTTCTGGCACTCTTTGTTTGCTTTGCTATGCAGAAACATTTTAGTTTGATAGAGTCCCACTGGTCTGTTCTTTCATTTTTTATTTATTTATTTGTTTTGTTTGGTGCCGGGAATCAAACACGACCTCACACTTGCCAGGCAGGCACTGTGCTGCTGAGCTATATCCCTGCACCAATTTCTTGAAAAATTAGACTTATCATGTAACCCAAAAACTCCACTTCTATGTGTCTACCCACAAAAAAATGAAAAACTATGTTCAGAAAAGGCAAAGTCTATAGAGAGAGAAAGTAGGTTGATCATTATCAGGGCAGTGTGGGAAGTGGCTGGGACACTGGTGGGAGTAGGAATGAACTGTAAACCATCCATGAAACAATTAGGAAGATTAGATATTTCTCTCTTTTCCAGTACTGGGAATTAAACACTGAGCTACCTCCCCAGGCCTTTTTTATTTTCTTTTTTTTTTTTTTTTTTCCTCCGGTACCGGGAACTGAACTCACGACCTTGCACTTGCCAGGCAGGCGCTTTGGCCGCTGAGCTAAATCCACAGCCCTGCCTTTTTTATTTTCAAACAGGGTCTTTGCTAAATTGCCAAATTGTTTATCCCGCACTGGAAATTGTGATCCTCCTGCCTCAGCCTCACAGAGTGCTAGGATTACAGGTGTGTGCCACTATGCCAGGCAGTTGGAGGTCTCTTAAAGGAATTCAGTAGCTGGGAGACAATGGAAGGAGAAAAACATTTTCCCTCTACAGCTTTTTCTAGTACTGCATTTGAAATAATGTATCAGATGCCAATATTAAGGGTTTGAAAATGGATTTTTTTCAGTATGTTAGGGATCAAATCCAGGGCCTCACACATGCCAGGCAAGTGTTCTATCAATGAGCTCTAATTTCTCCCCTCCCCAGGGATTGAACCCAGAGCCTTGCACCTGTTAAACTTGCACTCTATTGAAGCCAGCCATGGTGGCACACGCCTGTAATTCCAGCACTCAGGAGGCTGAGGCAGGAAGCTCCATGAGTTTGAAGCCACCGCCTGGGCTACAAAGTGAGTTCAAGGCCAGCCTGAACTGCACTGGAGACCCTGTCTCAAAAAAAAAAAAAAAAAAAAAAAAAATAGGGCCTAGGATATAGTTCAGTGGCACAAGCGCCTGCCTAGCAAACATAAGGTTCTGAGTTTGATTCCCAGTACTAAAACAAACAAAAAAACTTGTGCTCTGTCACCTCTGTCACTGAGTTATACTCCCAATTTTTTTTAACAACTGAACTACTTTTTTATTTTATTTTATTTTATTTTGAGACAAAGTCTTTCTAAGTTTCCCAAGCTAGCCTTGACTTTTCTCTCCTACTGTCCAGACTCTTGAGTAGCTGGAATTACAGGTGTGTGTCACCACACCCAGCTTCATTTTATCTTTTTTTCTGTCCTTCTTTCTTCCTTCCTTTCTTTTTTCTGTCTTTATTCCTTTCTTCTTTGAGATAAAGTCTCACTAAAAACTCATGCTGGCCATGAACTCATGATCCTCCTGCCTCAGTGTTGGGTTAATAGTACCCCTTAGTTATTGCGGGCTGATCAGGTCTGCAAACTCCTGAATGAGTGTATGGCAAAGGCTAAATAAAAAGAGGCAAATGGAATGATTTCAGGGCTCCAGGAGGATCAAAGCCCCCTCACAGAATTCAAGATTCTGTCGGGGCTAAGGCCAAGACTTTCTCTGGGTCACCTGTATTTATTTGGTTATCAGAAGAAGACAGGGGAGTACTCAAGAAGGGCAGAACCACTCAAGGACTTCTCTAAATAAGGTATTGTTAATCCACTGAAGAAAGAGATGCCTAAGATGCCTGAGGCTATAGTCTTTATCCATTTGAGATCTGATCCAGGTGTCCTTGGCTGTGATCTTGTCTTGTCCTTTGAGGCTTTCTGGCTTCATCCACCACTATAGGTTATAGTAGGGATTAGTGACTCACAGAGGTTCACTTACTATGACTCTGCCATTTTCAGATAAGGAGCATAGGCCTTGGACAGATTCACAAGTGAACATGAAAAACCAATTGATTAATTTAAGTCCTGCTCAGGTCTGCTTCGTAGTGGTCTCCATCACCTCAGTCTCCCAAGTACTGGCATTATAGGTGTGTAGTACCTGCTTGGCTCCAGCTTTATTTTCTTAATAGTGTATTTTTTGTTAATCAAACTGAAGCTCATATAATATAAAATTAGACATGTTAAATGAACCATTCATTACTGGTATATTTTGAAGCACAAAAACGTTGAATTTTGATATACTTATCTCTTTTATGAATGATGCCTTTGGTATCATAGGTAAGAAATCTTTGCCTAACTCAAGGTTTTGAAGATTTTCTTTTATATTTTCTCAAAGTCTCATAATTTGGCCTTTCTCTTTAGGTTTCTGATCCACTTTGAGTGTTTTTTTATATATAGTATGAGATAGGTATCTAAGTTCATTTTTTAAAATTTCAATAGAGGGACAGGGATTTAGCTCAGTGGCATACTTCCTGCCTGGCAAGTGCAAGGTCCTGAGTTAGATTCCTAGCACCAAAAAATACCAAAAACACAAACAAAAAAATTCAATAGACACAGCCAAATTGACATCACATCAGTTGACATCACATCAATTTATACTGGGATCAGCAGTGAGATGGTTGTTTTCTCACACCTTTGCTAATCCAACTGAGATATCAAACTCTAGTCTTGGCCAATCTGATACTAAAGACATGGCATCTCACATAGTTTTACTTTAGTCATATCCTAGGCCCTATCTGTGAAACGATTAGCTCAACGTATTAACTACTCACTGGTTCAGTGTATACATTAATAAGAAACACAATTACTAAAATAAGATGAGATGAGATGATATTTGAGATTTAGAAATGGAGCCAAGCGTGGTGGCACACTCCTGTAATCCCAGCACTCGGGGGGCTGAGGCAGGAGGATCACAGCGAGTTCTAGACCAGCCTGGGCTACAAAGTGAGCTCAAGGCCAGCCTGAACTGCATAGTGAGACCCTGTCTCAAAAAGACCAAAAAAAAAAAAAAATTAGAAATGGAAAGGATACATGCTAGAAAGTTAGTGTCATCCTGATACCAAAACCTGATAAAAGCACAGACCAATATCCTTGATGAACACTGACCCAAAAATCATCAATGAAATACTTGTAAACTGAATTCAGCAACACATTAAAAGGACCATACAGCATGATCAAGCAGGTTTCATTCCAGGAATGCAAGGACAGTTCAATATGTTTAAATCAATAAACACAATGCAGCATATAAATAGGATTAAGGATAAAAATCACATGATCGTTTCAACAGGTGCAGAAAAATCCTTTAATAAATTCAACATCCCTTTATGATAAAAATCCTGAATAAGGTGGGTATAGAAGGATCATACCTCAACATAAAAGACTGCATTTGAAAGCCAGGCATGGTGGCGCATGCCTATAATCCCAGCACTTGAGAGGCTGAGGCAGAAGGATCCTGTGAGTTCAAGGCCAGCCTGGGCTACAAAGTGAGCTCAAGGCCAGCCTGAACTGCATAGCAAGACCCTGTCCCAAAAAGACCAAAAAAAAAAAAAGCCATCAGTGAAAGGAGTGCATGAAAACTATTATTAATGAATTAATACTTGAAACTGGTAGAAATAAAAATTCTGGGTTGTTTGTGGATTGAACTCAGGGCCTTGTGCATGCTAAGCATGTGTTCTACCACTGAGCTACATCCCTAGCCATGAAGATTTTTTAAATTATATCACCTTTGTGGTGCTACCTAAATTCATCTTGTGTACATATATCCCAGCACAAATCCTTGAAAGATACCCACTTAACTATGAAGAATGAGAACTGGAGAGTTGGACGAGCTAAATTTGAGTTCTACTGCTACTAGTTAGTATTTGATCTCAAGTTAGTCACTTAATTCCCCTGAAACATAGTTACCGCATCTGAAAAATCCAGTGTTATTTTTCATTGCACATTTGAGCCTGTCCTATGTCAATGTTTTCTCATTTTGTACTCACAACCCCAAGAGGTACTATCACTAGTCCTCTTCACAGAGGAGGAAACAGGCTGAAGTCAGGGGACTGGATGAGTTGACCTTGTACACTCTACCCCAGGGGCACCCAAGTCTGATGGTCCTCAAAGACTATCACAACATCCATGTATTTGCATATTTCTAATTGCATCCTCTGCCACCTCAAGTTTCCCTGAATCAAAGGTGAGTTCTTAAATTCCCAGAAGTGTTATTGTATGACACCTTCCCACCTTATATAATGTGACCTAGAGGCTTGTTGCTTGATTCTATCTTTGCCTAAGTTTAATCCTTTTCTTTCCAGATGCAGATTCTTTTTTTTTCTTTTTTTTCTTTTTTTTTTTTTTTTGGTACTGGAAATCGAACTCAGTACCTTGCATTTGCCAGGCAGGCATTTGTGCCACTGAGCTGTATCCCTGGCCCCCCAGATACAGATTCTATCTTAGGACAGAGATCTCTAGTGAGAATGCTAGGTAAAAAATGATTCTGGTCTGCAGTTTGTAGAGTTGGGCTAATGAGGTTTCCCTAGAAGGACAATTTTGATGTGAAAACCAGAAAAGAAGGAACTAAAGATAATGAACAGGACAAGAAGGAGCTCTGAATGCTGTTTATTATCTAAGAGCTTTTCCTTTTGTTTTCTTTTTTTTTTTGTTTTTTGATGCTAGGAATTGCTAAGGGAGTTCTTGGGCTTTACAGTTGCTCCTCTGGGGCTCAGTCCTCCAAAAAATTGCCAAGGTAAGTGCTGAGAATTCCTTATCACTCTTTGTGTTAATCAGCTTTCCATTACTATAACAAATACCTGAGGTAATAAAGTTATAAAGAGAAAAGTCCATGATGGGTTGGCTTCATTTCTTTTGGGCCTGTGGCAAGGCAGCACATCATGGCAGGAGTGTGCCAAGGAACAAAACCACCTACCTCATGACCAGGGATCAAAAGAGAGAAAGAGGAGGCAGCCATGCTCTCACCATCCCCTTCAAGGGGATTCCCCCCAAGAAACTAACCCCCCCCCACCAGCCCTACCTCCTGGTATTGCCTCCCTGGGGACCAAGACTTGCACCTGGGCCCTTGTGGGGCATGCATTTACTTAGGACCTTGTGCTTGCCAGGCAGGTACTTATGCGCTGTGCTACATCCCCAGCCCTTATTTATTTATTTATGTATTTATTTATGGCACTGGAAATCAAACTCAGAACTTCATGCTTGCAAGGCAGGCACTGTGCTGCTGAGCTATGTCCCCTAGCCCTGTGGAGCATCTACAAGAAATCCAAACTATAGTACTATTTATTTTTATGACTTTTTTCCCTACTTCTACCTTCAATTCAGAAAACTAAAGAGTGCAGAAAAGCACAAGTTTTCTTTCTTATGTGGATTCAAGAAGAGACAGTTAGGAAATAGGTGAAAGAGACAGTCCTGAGTTAAAATCTTAAGAATTTTTTTATATTCTCTGTGAACTTTGGCAAGTCACCTAATTCTCCTGAACCTATTTCTTTTAATATGAAAGTGGGAATCAGCTGGGCATGGTGGTGCATGCCTGCAATCTCAGCACTCAGGAGGCTGAGGCAGGAGGATCACAGTGAGTTCAAGGCCAGCCTGGGCTACAAAGTGAGTTCAAGGCCAACCTGAAGTAACTGTAAGATCATCTCAAAAAAGAAAAGTGGGAATCAGAATATCTCCTACCTCATTGGGTGCTTGTGGGGATGAATGAATCACTGCATACAGTGGGCACTCAATATATGTGTTCTTGTGTTTTTCTTTCACAGTTTACAAGACAGATTTTTACTTCAGTGTTTCTTGAGCACCCTTGAAGTATTACTAGTGTTAGCAGACATACAGGGATAGATAAGACTGGCTTTTTGCCCTTGAAGGATTTGTGGCAGGAGGAGTGAAGAAATTTTCCCAGATTAAATAGTCTCATCTCCTGCATTTAGGTGTTTACAAAAAGATATTTTATCCCAATTCCCAGCTGTCAGTAACAGGGGGACAGAGAAGGGAGGTCACACAGCAAGTACTCAATAGAAGAGAGAGGACTTGAGCCTAATTAGAACAAATACTGGGATGAGATAAAATGACAAAGGATTTTGCAAATATTATCACGCTGGAGGAAAGTAAGAGGATGAAGGCCTCAGTAAGCTTTCCCCAAATCCTGACTAGAAAGAGTCAAACCCTTCCTAAGGGGGCACCTGAGAGAAGGGAGAGAGCAGGAAGCAGCAGGCTCTGCCAGGGCCCCAGCAAAGTGAGTGCCTCTCCCCATGGGGGAGTGAACTCCAGCAGACAAAGGGGCGCTAAGTAACATAAACTCATTACAGAAAATGCATACTCACCCCCTCCACACACACAGGTTTTCCCTTTACTTCATTGCTAACTCCACCTTTGTTGCAGGGAAAGTCATTTTTTGAAAAAATTTTTATTTTTTATTTATTTTTTCTTTTTTGAGGCAGGGTCTCACTATGCAGTTCCATCTGGCCTTGAGCTCACTTTGTAGCCCAGGTTGGTCTCGAACTCGAAAAGATTCTCCTGCCTCAGCCTCCCAAGTGCTGGGATTACAGGAGTGTGCCACTATGTCCAGCTATGGTAAAATCATTTTTTAAAAAACCCATAAATTTCTTTTTTTTTTCTTTTTTTTTTTTTTTTGCAGTACTGGAGATCGAACTCACAGCCTTGTGCTTGCCAGGCAGGTACTTGTGCCACTGAGTTATATCCCCAGCCCCCAACAAACCATAAATTTCAGAGATCAGGCCTGGTAGAACCCAGAAAACCTAATAAAGCCTACTTAGGAATTTGCACTTAAAGCCAGACAGCACTCTGGTGGCTGAGGCAGGAGGATCATCACGAGTTCGAGACCAGCCTGGGCTACAAAGTGAGCTCAAGGCCAGCCTGAACTGCATAGCTCTCAAAAAAGAAAGGAAGAAAGGAAGAAAGGAAGAAAGGAAGAAAGGAAGAAAGGAAGAAAGGAAGAAAGGAAGAAAGGAAGAAAGGAAGAAAGGAAGAAAGAAAGAAAGAAAGAAAGAAAGAAAGAAAGAAAGAAAGAAAGAAAGAAAGTCAGGAGAACAAGGCAGCACTTAAACTCCCAAACAAGTTGGGTGTGGTGGCACAGGCCTGTAATCCCAGCACTTGGAGGCTGAGGCAGGAGGATCACCATGAGTTCAAGGCAAGCCTGGGCTCTATAGTGAGACCCTGTCTAAAAAACAAAAAAGTCAGATTTAGCCAGTATGAGAAGAAAGTGCCCTCTGATTTAATCTTTGCAAGGAAAGAAACTTTGAAATAACCAATCTGCCTTTTATTCTTTGTTTCTGCTTTCTTCAGCCCTTCTCTGCCTATTAAGCCAAGCTCCTCTGCTCAACTCGTTAGAACGCACATTCTGTTTTATGGAATGAAGTGCTGTCTGATTATTATTATTATTATTACTACTAATTTTGGTGCCAGGAATCAAACTCAGGAAGGCGCACTTGCCAGGCAGACACTTGCGGCGCTGAATTACATCCCCAGCCCCTATTATTATTTATTTATTTATTTAGGTCTTTTTGAGACAGGGTCTCACTATGCAGTTCAGGCTGCCCTTGAGCTCACTTTGCAGCATGGGCTGGTCTTAAACTTGCAACGATCCTCCTGCCTCAGCCTCCTGAGTGCTGGGATTATAGGCATGTACCACCATGCCCAGTGGTTCTTTTTTGAGGTTAAATTGATATACAATGATCTCTTATCACTTGCTGAGTTTTGACAAAATGCATACAGCCATATGCTCCAAATACTTTTTTTGTCTTTTTGAGACAGGGTTTCACTATGCAGTTCAGGCTGGCCCTGAACTCATGTTGTAACCCAGGCTGGCCTCAAACTTGCAAAGATTTTCCTACCTCAGCCTCCTGAGTGCTGGGATTACAAACATGTACCACTGTGCCTAGCTCCCAGACAAGATATTGAAAAAACATTTTTCTTTTTCTTTTTTTTTTTTTTTGCGGTACCAGGGATCGAACTCATGACCTTGAGCTTGCCAGGCAGGCACTTATGCCACTAAGCTATATCCCCAGCCCAACATTTTTCAATACTCTAGAAAATTCCTCACATCTCTTTCCCGTCAATCCCCTCCCTCTAGAGGCAATCATTATTGTGATTTTTTTGTTTTTGTTGTTCTTTTTTGAGACAGGGTTTCCTTTGGTAGTGCAGGCTGGGCTTGGGCCTGGAACTTGTATTGATCCTCCTGCGAGCACTAAGTATAACTTATGTAAGCAGCAGGGACCACCAGGCTTGTGTAAAGGCAATGTGGTGTGGAATTTATTGTGCCTGAACTATCTGCCCTGGCGTGTCCCTTTTATAGGGATGGAGAGAAGGCAGGGGACATTAAGGGGGAAGATCCCAATGAACATCTGTGGTTAAAGTTTTCTGGCAATCTTGCATCTCACTGGGTAGAGTCCTTTGAAGTGTCTGACGTAAGGGGCGTCTCCAGATGTCCCCAGGACCTGCAAAATTCCTTGTTCTATCTTATCTCCTTTCCTGGGTTTGTGGATGACAGTCTCAGGTGCTGAGCCCAGTTCCCTGCTGAGAGCTGAGTTCCCTGCAGACAGTAGTGCTTCTGCTGGCAAGCAGGTTGTGGCCGGGAATCAGGTCCAGTTGCAGACTTCACTGAGATTATGGGCATGTGCCACCATGTGTTATGGCAAAAATTCTGGCTATATTCCACAAGAGACCAAAGAGAACGGACAAAGTTTTAGTTTAGACCGGTCACCTCTCATCCCGACTTGCAAGTAGGGAAGTGGGCGTGGACCTGCCTTTGTTCCCAGTTTATATACAGTTTTGGTTTCCATGGTAACAGGTTGGAATGTTGTAGCGCTGGCCACTTGTTGTTTTCCTTGTGCCACCTAACTGGGTCAGGCTCCGGTCATGAGCCCAGCCACAATCATATATACTTTCTGTACTCTGTTCTATATGTCCCCCTTTAGATAACTATACATTTCCTTTATGGTTACAATGTTTATCTAGGGCCAGGGAAGGGATGAAACAACCCAGGCAGTGTTATAGGTGGTTATCTGGGCCCTGGTGTTCTTTGTCTTTGGAGAAGCATTCCAGGGATAAGTCCGGACTGCAAAGTTAACTCTTTACAACCCTCTGGGATGTTTCTCAAGACACATTTTGAGGCTTGCATTAAGACTAGAATTATTCTATCTTAAAATGATATGCTAACAGTTATCGTCCCCTACACATGCTCAGCTTATTATTGTGATTTTTCACCATTGATTAGGTATAACCTGTTCTGGAACATTAAATCATATCACATGTAATCTTTTCTCTTTTTTTTTTGTACCAAGAATCAAACTCATGACCTTAGGCTTGACAGGCAAGCACTGTGCCACTGAGCTATATCCACAGCCCCAGTGTGTAATCTTTTGTATAAGACTTCTTCCTTTAAGCATGATGTCTAAGGCATATCTCATTTATTCTGTCTGAAAATATAGGTGTCTCAGTTACTTTTCTGTCACTGCTGAGACAAAATACCTGACGCCCAGAATTAAGGAAGGAAAGGTTTATTTCGCTCACAGTTTGTGGAGGTTTCAGTCCATGCTCAGCTGGCTCCAAGGCAGAGTGGCACAAGGCAGAGGGCAACAGCAAGAGCAGCAAGAGCAAGCCTCTTTCCCTCCCTTATACTGCATGCAGGCTACCCGGGAGGATGTAGCACTCACACCCATCATCCCAGCATTGGAGGATGGATCAATCAAAAACCATAGAAGCCTGCCCCATGATTGC